CCCACCCCACCCTCCCAGCAGTTTCCCACTGCTGCCAATCAATTCCTTATAGTATTATGTTAATTGTTCAAGGTCTGCTTATGAGTGAGAACATATGGTACTCTGTTCTTTGTTTCTGTGATAGATCACTGAGTATGATCAATTCTAAATCCATCCAAGTTGCTGCAAAGTCCATATGTTTGTCATTCTTTGTGGCTGCATAATATTCCATTGTGTATATGTACCACAATTTTTTCTCCAGTCCAGCTTCAATGGGCAGCATGGCTGGTTCCATGTTTTTACTGCAATATGCTTATTGAGATGCTTTTTCCACAGCTCAAAACAGTTTTTGAACTTGTCCATTCTGATGTCTTTTAGTGCTTTTGCCTTTTTTTTGTTTAACCTCTTCCACATCAACAAAACATTTCCATCTGAGGACTTTTCTCATCTGGAAAAAAAAAAGTTGCTCAGGTGATCAGGTAAATAGAGAGGATGGAGCACAGGGGTCCTGCTGTTTCTTTTTTGTTTGTTTTTTTTTGTTTTGTTTTGTTTTGAGTTGGAGTCTCACTCTGTCTGTTTTTGGTCAAAAACTGCTGGACACTCCGAGTGGTGTGGGCGAGTGAGCTCGTAAATCACCTATCATGAAATGGGCAAAGGCATTGAAAGACTCTTAAAAAAAATTCACCGCAGCTGAACGTAGCCTCTCACAACAACACTGGATGGTACACTGATGCAGCTGTGTTCCTAGAACATTTATCTAGTGGAGCAAGCCTGTACTACAAGGGGCCCACCCTCCACAAAATAATTCTGTTTTGGGGGGGTACTTTCTCATAGAATTAAACATGTACCGCACTCTTATCACAGTTCAACCCATGGTGTCTTTCTTCCATTTACCTGAATTCACTTTGGAGCAGGAGTCTCTCATTTTATGTCTGTGTATAAAATTTCTGAAATGTTCCTGCAAACAGTAGGTGTTCGTTCAATATGGGATGAAAGAGTATGGTGGGGGTGGAGTACTAATACTGGAGAAAAGAGAAGGACACAGCAGCAGAATTCTTACAGGCTACTGTGTTTTCCAGCTTGGAAAAGTAAAGTGCTGTGTCACATTCAACACGAATGCTATGGAAATGTATCATCTGAAGTAAATATGTGATCTTAAAGGAGTATTACGAAGAAAAGGTAGCTTCTGTGTGACTTTTTTTTTAAGCTAACAAAATAGCCTGGCACTTCCCTATTTTGCTTCACATTTATTATAAGCCTTTTAAATCCCTTCTAAAAACCACAAGGTTACGCGCCCCACTTGGCTTAACTTTTTATTGTTTCTGTGCTTCCTGTGAAGATAGCTAGACAGGCAAGGCTGATAAAAGGAAAGTTTGTCCTTATCGAATACTTAATTCGCTTAACTGTGTAATATGACTTGTTTTTTCTACCGTTAGAAACCTACTGTTTCCTAAGAACTCACCCATTTGAGGCATCTTCAATGGATAGAAGGTTCTAAATCAGCCAAAGTGTCCTTCTAAGAGAGAGTAAAATGAATGCTAATCTAATTGCCCAAGAATGCATACACCAAGCTTGGAAAACAAGTCTTCTACATGGGTTCCCTCTGCTGGATTTGAGGATGTACTGTCTTGGAAACTGATGAAAGCAGTATACCCGAACCTTTTTATCTGAGGGCATGTTACTCAAATGGCAAATCCAACGTTCTTTTAGAAAGAGTTTACTCCGTGATAAACGTGCCAAGTATTTCTTGAATTTGCTTCCCAAGGGCAGAAATACTGCAAATAGAAAACGGTGCAGCTGAGACTCAAAGTGGAAAACAAAACTCCTGCCACTCAGATGTCTGTGTTAGGGAGTAGATGGCACGCACGGGGACTAGGAGTAAAAAGCCCAGAAGTAGTAAATTAGGCAAACTGCCAGACTGGCTGTCACTGTGAGAAAGCTGGATTGAGTGAGGGGTCTGATTGTGAATTTCCTCTGTATGCATTTACAACCGCTGTAACCTATTCCTCACATTCCTGCAATATAATTGCTGTTTCTCTTCTCCTTCTTATCTTCTCTTCCTAAGAAAGCTCTCTGTCCCTACTCTTTAGGAGATATGTGTGGTAACCAGATTAATTTTAAAGGCAGCCTGTTCCCCTACAAACTTTAGGCCTACTGTGAAATGTGTTAAAAGGTCTGTCTGTTGGAGGAGACAGAAAAGCAGGCAGATCTCTTCTGTTTGATTCAGAGTCCATTCAGTGGGAGGAAGGGGGTAGATTTCTGGTGCTGCCGAACCAACGTGGCCTTGTTAAGAGAGCAAGAACAGCAGAAATGACTATTTCCTCCCTAGAGCAAAAGCCGATGCCGTTACCTACATAGGGAACTAGAACTGAGAAAATGTCAGATAACCATGTAGTACTTATAAATATGCCTTTCAGGACACTGGATTTAAATGCGTATAGAGTCGCCCAGGTTCTCATATTAAAAGTTATATTGTGTCCCCATGACAGATGACACAGTGCTGAGCAAACAGAAGGGATTCTGTACATATTATTTATTTATTGACTGCATTACTCACCAACTTCAGAGTGTCACCCTTTTTGTTTGTTTTGTCATTCTAGTATATACTTTTTATTTCATTCAGGTCAAATCCAAATGCTTCCCCATCTGAAACTCTTTTCAATAGGCTATTTTTCAGAGTTGCCAAGAGAAATGTTTCCCTATTGCTTCTGAAATTCTTATTTCAGCTCTACACCAGATTATTTCCCCAGTAGCAAAATTGGGTTTATTCTGATTTACATCCTCCTCTGGGGAGGATTCCCCATCCTCTCACCTCTGGATTCCCCAAAGAGCCAGTGGTAGTAGTTGATAGTGTGAAAGAACTCTCAAGCAAAAGAAGGTTAAGTGATTTGGGCCTGCCTGTGGGTCAGATATTTTGAAAAGACTCAGCTAGATGATTCTTCTGTTCCCAGTGACTTTGGCTGAGGTTATCACTCAGTTGCATTTGGCTGGCAGTGGGGCAAGGTCAGAAGGATCTAGAAGACTTTTCTCACATGTCTGGCCCCTCGGCGCTCTTCCACATAGTCCTCGACTCTCATGTGTCCTTCTCCACTTGGCAGGCTGGCCTCGACTCCTTACAGCATGGTGGCCAACTTCCCAGGGAGAGAAAGGCAGAGGGTACCAGAACTGTCAGGGCAGCTGGGAAATCCCAGAACATCACTTCCACTACATTCCATCTCTCTACACAAGTTACAGAGCCAGTTAGGATTTTAACAGAAAAGAAGTAGACTCCACTCCTTGAGAAGTAAGGCACTTGTGGCCATCTTCAACCCATATGAATCTAGGCTGGTAACTTCTGCTGCTCTATTTACTGTGCTTTACATGTTTTATACTTTGTTCCCATGTCCTTATATGCATTAATAATTTCTATTTGCTTTATTTTCCAAACAAAAAGCAACTTGGATACTCTTTCAGCAATGAGTTATAAAATCATGCCTTTATTTACCTTTGAAAAGTTTATTTTTTTCTGCACTTAAATCCATAGATATAGCACATATTTTAAGATAAAGGGAAAATTGAAAATACTATTCATGTACAGCCTCCACAGCACCTGCCCAGTTGTTTATTTTTCACATAAGTATGTACTATGGCATAAACTTGACCAACAGTATCTGTTCAAGACAAAATGTTTTATAGCATAGATATGTTAGACTGGCATGTGCAAGTTAAGTGAAAATAGATTTTTTGGTAACATATATCAAACAGAAAAATAAAGGGCATAGAGCTGCCATCAGCCAACCTTTCTTACACAGTATGTGTTACTTGAATTAAAGGAGAAGACCAGACAGGAATTGAAATCTGTATTGTATTTTGGGAAAAGCTGGGCAGGGAGAGAGATGTTACCAGGACTGCTGAGTGAGTCTTGTTTACTGCAGTTCAACATTTCATCTAGCAAATCATGTGCGAAGGGATAAGTATAAATGCACCTATTTATGTAGGTAATTTTTCTGTTTCATGCCTTTGATTCATCTCCCTGCCTTGCTTTATGGGGAGTCATGCTACATTGGTTACAATTAATTTCAGTGCTGTGTATTAGCCATAAAGAGATATTTCATAAATTGACTTGATGCATTTTTTTTTCCTTCTGTGGTTTTCTTGAAAGATGAGAACGGTCCAGAGGAAAAGCAGAGTGTGGAAGAAATGGAAGGGCAGAGCCAAGAAGCAGGTGGGCTCAGATTTCTTTTGAGGAGTCTCCTAGGCCTCATCTACAGAGGTGAACAATAACTTTACTCAATGCTATTGTCTGAAAATACTTATACCTGTCACCAGATTAACTCCAGTGCTCCCCCAGGTCTTTCTCAGGAGATCACCGACTCCATTAACTATGGGTTGACTGTACTTCCACAGAGTGGCACATTCTCATATGTCATGCACCGATTCTGTGTTTCTTCCCTGTCATAGCAGTTTGCTTGGTAATACTCTGCGAGGAATGGGTGAAGGTTAGAAGTGCCCAGCCAGAGCTTGGCTAACATAGGTCAGGCTAACATGAGCAGATTTAGCTTAAGGGGGAAAAAATGAAATTAAAATGAAAAAGAGGCTATCTCTGTACAGTGAGTGGAGTAGTCTTCATTGTTTTGCATTAAATTTTGAAGGGCCATGCTTCTGGTTATTTTTCTGCATGTTAAGGGGACGGTGCCACGGAGACTCACTACCCCACACAGAGCTCTAAGTGACAGCCTTCCTGAAATCCCCTCTGTTCACTAAAGGACAAATATGGCTGTTGAATGTTTATGGATTCTGCCCTGTAGATTATAAATCGAACATTTTAAAGTGAAATAGCACCTAAGGCTCAAAAGAGATTGAAATCACCTTTGAGTTATCACTTCTTCTTACCCATTTTTGGGCTGAGGCATGCTCACCTTTAAAATAATAGACACAGTTTCCAAAATAACCACACACACACAAAAAAGCTTTCTTCCCTCTAGTTTCCAAGTCATTGTGTGGCCCCACAGAGGGGCATTTTTGAAACAATGGGCTTTGTCTTATGTTGTCCAGGTATGTCCTAGGCCATACACTGAACTCTTGTGATTAAACCAGGTAGTGTGATAAGTTTTTCACTGTAAACTTCCTACATTAACCTTGGAGCTTTTGCTAGAGAACTAGGAGCTTTTATTATTAACCTGGAAGATGGAATTGAAGAAGGCCAATCAGAGAAAGCACTGAAGCAAGGCAGTAAGGACCTTATGTACCTGGGCCGGCTGACTCCCTTTGCTGCCATGCAGTCCTTGCAATGAAATGCATTTCTGATACAGCAAATTGTTGTTATCCATCCCTCCCCTAGTCCCCCGACCCACACATCATTATGCTCCATAGCAGATGAGTCTTATGTGAAAAGCTGTCACTGTTTTTGCTGTTTGGGGCTGACAAGTATTAGCGGACTAACTGCTGACAGCTGAAGCCATTCTCTAACTGTTGAGGTTTCACAGGTTTTATTCATTCGTTGTTCTGTCCCAAATGGTCTTCATCAACATAGACTTTGTTTCCACCCTGTAATACACATACACACACATGCACACATGTATACTCACATTTGTCTGACTTACTTATCCTCTGCCCCCTAATCAGTTGAGAACAGGCAGTTTCTTTTTGGATTTGGAGTCATCTTGCCTGTGATAAGAGACTGGTAGGATGTCAGTCCCCTTCTCCAAGCTCTCGAATCTGACATTGTCATCACAACAATGTGGGCACATCTCAATGCAAGAAGAGTCCTAAATGCCTCCCTGGTGGTTCCTCTTGCTTTCCCATGTGAGCCCACCAGCTGGCATAGAGTTCCGTGGCAGGATCCGTCTCCGATCCTGGCTGGTGTCAATGTACATTGCTATGTCCACTCTGCTCATTGCATACCCCACTCCCCACAATCAGTGTGCAGAGAAATCAAAGCTGTATTTCTGGTCATTAAATCCCTTTTGACCTGCTGTTACTTTTCCAAGTATATATATTTTTTCATTCAATATAATTTTCAGTTTCATTTTTGACTCTATAACTCTGCAGGCCTCTTCCACATCATGGGGGGAAAAAAAACTACAATCGCAAAACAGCAAAATCCAGTTGTTTTGACTATTGTCATTATCAAATCAGGCTTAAGTTGTAAATCGTGTTCTCAAAAAATCATTTATCAAACATTTATTAAGGGTTTACTGTGTCCCAGGCGATGTTCTAGCACCAGGAATATGACAATAATCAATAAAAACAACATCCTTGCTTCCTTGAAGCTTACTCTGGTGGGGGACCCAACTAGCAAGCAAATAAAAAAGGACAAAAATATTGATAATCATAAGTGCCTTGCAGAGAAATAAGGTAACATAGAAGGAATACCCAGAAGGCAATATTCCATTTACTGGATTTGAAAAGGACTCTCTGAGGAAGTGATAGTGTAAATGAGAACTGAATGATAGAGATGAGAGAATGTGTTCTAGATGGAATAAACAGTTAATGCAAGTGCTTCATCATATCTAACTGAATAAGATTTAATTTTATAAGAACTATGAAGAGACGTTAATGAAGGTTTTAAGTAGCAGAGAGACATGATCTACATTTTACAAAGCTCACTTTGTGACTGAAATCAGTCAAAAGAGGCAGAGCAAGACCATTAAGAAGGCTACTTCAGGAGGGCAATGATGGTGGTTTCTTGAAATGCAGACAAAATGGGCTGATTTGTGTAATGTTTTGGAGACAGAGACAATAGGACACGCAATGCATTAGATGAGGTATATGTGGGAAAGAAGAATCCAGGGTTAGTCCTAGGTTTTTAGCTTCAGTAACTACGTGGATGATGGTGTCATTTATTGATATAGAGAAGACTGACCATAGGCCACAGTTTATATTGAGAAACTTCCTAGTCCAGCTTTGGCCATCGCAAATTTCAGAGAACTCTTGAACAGCCATGTGCCATGCCAAGAAGCCAGTTAGATATATAAGTCCAGATTTCCAGAGAGGGGGCAGAGCCCAGGTACAGGTTTGAAAGTCACTGTACTGGCCTATAGATGGTATTTAGAAAAGTGAGATCAGATGAGATTCACTAGGGAGGACATATTAAGAACAAAGACAATGGGGTCTGGGACACGATGACATCTAGTAGATACATGGCAAGGAAAGAAGGAGCAGCCATAATAGGAAAGTGTTTTAGGAAGATCAGGGAAAAGACTGTGCAATGCAGCTGAGAAGTCAAGTAAGGTAAGAGAAATGACCATTGGATTTGCAAAAGGAGGTCCCTGAGTGCCTTGGGTAAAAAAAAATGCAGAGAAATATTGGAGGAGAAGCCAACTGGGTTGGATTGTGAAGAGCCTGTGAAGTGAGGAAGTAGGGAACAATAAAAATAACTGCTTTAGGTAGTTTTGCTATGAAAGAAAGAAGAGAAACGAGGATGTCATGGCATCAAGGGAAGATTCGTCATTTTTACCTTTTTCTTTTTTTAAAAAAGGAGATTGTCACCTAACAAAAGAAAGTGAGTCATCATCTCCAATTATTCCCCTGCTAAAAATTGTATTCTCTGTTTTAATAGAGACCTGACCTAAAAGTAATAGTATACACATTATGGAGTCAAGATATGCTCAAAATATGTGATTTGCCTCCAAATGTGTATTATCATGCCTATATAACATAGTTAACTAATGATAAATTAGTTGTCTTAGTTCCATGACCTTGTTCATAAATGAAAACAATATCTATCCCTTTTCCAGGTATCAGGTATCAGCAACCATTCCAAATGATTTTAATTATGCTTCCTGCCTTAAATTTGTTGTTTTGGTATTAGTAGCCTAACTATCTATTATCTGGGAGGCCACACGTGAGTGGAGTCGTGTGAGGCTGATGAGATTGAGAAGAGAGATCAACTCTGATGGGGTTAATTGATGCTGTGAAGGACAGAGATCTCTAAGTCCTTAGTCCCCATTCCGTTCGTGGGTGATGCGAAATCTCCAAATGGCTTTTGGTGCCTTCCGCTAAATGATCACATTCTCCCAGGCCTCTGCACTGACAGCCATCAGAGCTGCTCCCTGCAGTCTGACAGCCTGGCATAATGGAGCAGAAATGCTGTGCTAAGAAAAACCAAACTTTAAAAACACATACATAAAAGCACTTTGTAAGAACTTGCAAGGATATACTTTCCCTCACAATCTGTTACCAAGAAAAATAATATAGCATCCTTTGAGAGACAAGGAAGAAGCAAAATGCCTAAGTATACTACTAACAACAAATGGTATTGTTCACCAAAAAATAGCTTGTAGTCTGTTACTCTCTTTCTTAACTGAAGGTTTCTGTTTCACTAATTATAAAAGAAAGTCCCAAACCACTAGCCCTTCAAAAACGTTTCGGTTTATTGCAGCATGAAACAGGCTCACACTTTCTTTGGTGGAACTGGGAGGGAGGTATGGGGGAAGGGAAAGCCACAGCTTGTTTTCTAGAAGAATAAACTCTGAGGCAGCTTTTTGTTTTTTTGGTTTTGGGGGTTTTTTTGCTTTAAAGATGGTGTCAACACTGCCACTGTGCCCAACCCTGCTTCAGAAAAGACAGAGGCTGCTGAAGTCTGTAACGATGAAGGTATGAGATCACTTACTATATCTAAAAATTGCAGACTCTTAAAAGAAGGCTTTTGGGGCTTTGTTTACATGGAAAAACAAAGCAGCGAGGAAATCTAACTAATTCTCTTTCAACATCCTGTTCACAACACAATCAAATATCCTACCCACTCTCCTTTATTGCATATCCAGCCTTTTCAGAATTTATATATAATCTACATTTGGTCTTCTAAAAAATAACTATTTATGAAATAAGAGAATGACCAGAAGAAGTCTTCTTATGTTTAGAGAAGATGTTTATGTGAAACACCAGAATTAGTCGGTTCTGCTATTTACAACGACTCATTAGGCAAAAGCTTGAAAGTGTGACATTTGAAGACCACCAACCAGGGATTACCATTATCCAAGAAAGAAATGTTTAAAAGGCATCTTTAGAAATGAATCATTGGTAAGAGCATCATTTTCCAGTCTGTGGACAGAATCATGAGAAAATGTTGCTGACCCAAGTATTCTCCAGAAGAAGAAAAAAGTAAAAGAAAATTTTTCTTTTCTAGGAGACAGTTTGAGAAAAAAGTAGTGGACACATTGATGTGGCGATACTAGAGCTTTAAACAAATTTTCTGAAAGAAAATAAAACAGTCTTCTTTTC